GTGTGTGTGTGTGTGTGTGTGTGTGTGTGTGTGTGTGTGTGAGAGAGAGAGAGAGAGAGAGAGAGAGAGAGAGCGAGCAGCCCCCAAAATATAGTGAAAAATTTATGGTCATGTTACTGGCTCACAGTAACTGCTGATTTTAGCGCTGTCTTTGGACCAACCCTTATACAGTATCTTGTCTAACGTAGAAATTCGTCACATCTAGTAGGGAGTGGATCACATGGGGTAGACCCTGCAAACAGGAACTAAGAGATGGAAGCGTTGCACGTGATCCACTACTACCATGTTATGTTTTTCTCCCCTGAGACATTCCAGATTGAAACAGGAAGCTCTGTTCTCCCAGGTACGCAAAGGAAAAAGCAGCAGTAGCAACTCAGAAATGGGCAGGTGACATAAACTCATTATGGTGAGAGACGAAGGCTTCTGGACAGCAATCTGGCAGTGCAACTGGGCGATTCATGACAGGAAAGGCAGGGCCCATGCATCTGACCGGTTGCTCTCCTCTGCCTTAAAGAAAGCAAAAAGTGTAGTGTCTGTCTAACAGACATCTAAACAGGCATGTTCAAAAATGCTGACAGGAGAAACTGACTGGCCACCCTGGAAGTTAATGGGATTTAAAATGAATAATACTAAATCCTGCTTTACACTTACTTGAGTGATACTTTCTTGAGGAACCTGAAACTGGTCCGCTGGCACTGGATCATCGTCAGCTGCCAGGAGCAATTTTGGGTTGCCAAGTATGATCTAGAGCAAACCACAAGCAATCATATGTACATAGAGGTCTGTATAAAGCAATTACGATATTGCTGATTTTCAACTGCTTTTCTAAGGATCCCCAATGTGAAATCTATCTTTTTAATGGCAGCTGCACACCAGAGCAGTGGCTACACACCAAACTATCACAACAAGTCCATGAGCCCTTTCTTTGTCACATACTCTATAAACATATTATATGTGAAGCTAGGACTTCCCCCCCCCCAGGTGCCCAGTGAGCCATTCTCAGGACAGAATTGCTAGGGAAAATTAGGACATCCACTGCTCTTGGCTTGATAAGCTATTCTTCTGTTCCTAGGACTAAAACAGCAAAGAAATGCTGTTAAAATGGAACTTGTCATTCCTACTTCCTTATTTGCTCAGTGATCGTGCTGCTGAAATCCATTTGTTCTGTTTGCAAATCTGGTGCTAACAGAAAAACTAAAGAACTCTGTTGGGTCCTGATGGATAGAGGTTTAAATTCTGCACAGCATCAAGCTTCAATATAATGCAGCTTCAAGTTGACCATGACTCTGGTCTGCAGCTGGGGTGTACTCCTGGATTTATCCCTAAGTTTGGATGCCCAGGTCTCGGCGGTGGCCAGGAGCGCATCTGCTGGTGCGCCAGTGGCGCTAGTTTCTTAAGATGTTGGATCTGGCTACAGTGACATATGCCTTAGTTACATCCCGTTTGGATTACTGTAACTTGCTCTGTGTGGGGTTGCCTTTGAAGATGGTTCGGAAACTTCAGCTGGTGCAAAACTCTGCAGCCAGACTACAGGGAGCATATAACGAACCTGTTACAAGAACTGCACTGGCTACCAGTCTGTTTCCGGGCCCAATTCAAAGTGCTGGCCATTACCTCTAAAGCCCTCTACAGCTTGGGTCCAGGCTACCTGAAGGACCGTATCTCCCTATAGGCGCCTTCTTGGCGATTAAGATTTAATAATAATAATAAAATCAGCAGAGGAGGCCCTCCTCTCAGTCCCATTGCCAGCACAAGCACAGCTGATGGGGACACACAGGAGAGGGCCTTCTTGGTGGCAGCTCCCAGGCTATGGAATGCTCTCCCTTGGGAGATCAGGAGGGCCCCTTCCCTTTCATCCTTCCGTGGGAAAAAAGCCAAAGACCCATCTCTTCAGGCAGGCTTTTAACAATTACAACTGAATCCCTGAACCCCATTTCAGCAGATAATTTTAATATTTTCCACATTTTCATGTTTTTATCTTTTAATTGTATTTTAAATCATATATTAATTTATCTTTTAATATTTAACTTATTGTGTTTTTAAATTGTGTGAATTTTAATGTTGT